GATCGTTGCATCGATCAAATCATACCTTGACCAACATACAGCAACCCAAAACAAATTAATCAATAGACTAAACCAACGCATCGACATATGTTTCAACTATATTCAACAAGACAAACCCCAGCAACAACATTTCGAGCTACAACAAGATGAACCCACCACAACAAAACATATACACGAATCCAGCACAACATTATCCCAACAACAACCTTTTGACTACCAACAAGGAACTTCATTATCTACAAGACACAACCACAAGTTTAATGCTGCCACAACTCTACAACAAATGAAACAGACCGACCAAAGCACAGCTATGCAGCAAGGTAATTGTCCACTAGCCCCTCTCCTCAACAACCTCATCATTAACTTCCCAATCGCACAGCCCAGTGCAAACACAACTATCACCCCCCGAGCACTCAGCACATTGCGCACTAGAGCAACTGCACGAAAATTCACTTCCTTTGAATACAACAATGCCAACCTCTCCCCAGTTTCCGGCTTCACTAATGCCCAGGCCGCCCACATTGAGAGAATCAGACTGTGGTGAATCCTCAACTGGTCCGACGGTCAGAAAGCATTAGAGATGCTGCCCAATAAACTGCACTTACTGCCACACCTATGGAAGGCTATTGCAGTTGGTAATTTTGTTGACCTCGTTGAGTTCAGTTACAAAACTCTGAAGGCAAACATGAAGTACAATGAAGAGAAGCAAATATTACAAACTGCCGAGGGTGATGTCATAGCTATCAGAAAACACAATAGGTCCCACAGGTTCAACGACATCTCTAAATAGCTCCTGGCTTTTAGGGCCTACATGGAGGCTATCTTTATTATTTACAATGATAGAGAAAAAGAGCTAAACGCTTACCAGAACCATGTTAACACATTATGCGTCAAGCACAAATTTTCGGCCATTGCAGCTTATGACAAGAATCGCAGACTCCATCTCACAACCAACCACGACTCTACCTTATTTGACAGAGATATTGAAGCCGAAGGTGAAAACCTCGACATCACCACAACCAAAAAACAGTGCAGTATCTTCACCCCTCGCGGTCCCAAATCTGACATCACATGGCACGACGATAGGCAGATTTGCCTCAACTGGAACCGGAAAGGCTGCCCCGAAGAAGCCAACTATAAGCGTGTCTACGTCTGTTTGACATGCAGAAGATCAGGACACCCAGAATGTCGCTGCTACTACAATAAATCTGCTACTCCCAGACAACCCAACTCCCGGAACCAGGAATCAACCAGATAAGTCAACCAAAAAATAATAATAATAATAATAAAAAAAAAAAAAAAATCGTGTATATACATAAAATAACAAGAATAATAACACTAATGAGAAACAATACGCACTTAAAAAAAAAAAAAAAAAGTAATAATAATAATAATAATAATAATAATAATAACAATAATAATAATATGTAATAATAAGAATGATGATATATATAAAAAAAAAAAAAAAAAAAAAAAAAAAAAAAAAAAAAAAAAAAAAAAAAAAAAAAAAAAAAAAAAAAAAAAAAA